TTTAATCTTATAATACTAAATAGGAGAGTGTTTCCCAGCCATACATAATCCTCATTTGCATAAAATATTCAGGTAGAAGAGGCACAGCTTCTTCATAGAAAGTCTGTTTGAACATTCCAACTTTCATAATCCTGTCAATCCTCACATTTTTATTTTCTCTCAGTCTAACTGTAGCCCACAGCAGGGCTTCACCAGTGGGTTTCGGTAACTTCTTTACTTCTTCACTAAATTACCCACTCTTGTGCAAAATTCTTTAAGTCCCCAGTAAGGAGTCAAGCCAGGGAATCCTGGCCTTTTGTCAGTCTTTGTCTTGATTAGATAAAACAAATGCTGGTCAGGTTTGGATCCATCTCTAAATGCCATTGGTAACTTTAACCTTTAGTAACCATAGTTCTGACTATATGGACCTTTGTCGGCAAGGTGATATCTCTGCTTTTTAATATGCTGTCTAGGTTTGTCATAGCTTTTCTTACAAGGAGCAAGTGTCTTTTAATTTCATGGCTGCAGACACGGTCTGCAGTGATTTTGGAGCCTACTAAAAGAAAATCTGTCGGTTTCTACTTTTTCCCCATCTGTTTGCCATGAAGTGATAGGACCAGATGCCATGATCTTTGTTTTTTGAATGTTGAGTTTTAAGCCAGCTTTTTCACTCTCCTCTTTCACCTTCGTCAGGAGGCTCTTTATTCACCTTCGTCAAGGGACTCTTTAGTTCCTCTTTGCTTTCTGCCATTAGAGTGGTATCATCTATATATCTGAAGTTGTTGATATTTCTCTTGACAGCCTTTATTCCAGCTTGTCATTCATCTAGCCCAGCATTTCACATGATGTACTCTGCATATAAGTTAAATCACAGGATAACAATATTCAGCCTTGATGTACTCCTTGCCCCATTTTGAACCAGTATGTTGTTCCCTGTGCAGTTCTAACTGTTGCTTCTTGACCAGCATACAGATTTCTCAGGAGGCAGATAAGGTGGTTGTGATCCACATAGTCTGGCTTTAGCGTAGTCAGTGAAGCAGAAGTAGATGTTTTTCTGAAAGTCCCTTGCTTTTTCTGTGATTCAAAGGATGTTGGCAATTTGATCTCTGGTTCTTCTGCCTTTTCTAAATAAATCCAGCTTATACATCTGAAAGTTCTTGATTCATGTACTAATGAAGCATAGCTTGAAGGATTTTGAGCATTACCTTGCTATCATGTGAAATGAGTGCAGTTGTACAGTAGTTTGAACATTCTTTGGCATTGCCTTTCTTTGGGATTGGAATGAAAACTGACTTTTTCCAATCCAATGGCCACTGCTGAGTTTTTCAAATTTGCTGACAAATTGAGTGCAGCACTTCTAACAGCATCATCTTTTAGGATTTGAAATAGCTCAGCTGGAATTCCATCACCTCCACTAGCTTTGTTCATAGTAATACTTCCCACTTGACTTCACATTCCAGGATGTCTGGCTCTAGGTGAGTGACCATACCATCATGTGTATTCGGATCATTAAGACCTTTTATATATAGTTCTTGTATTCTTGCCAGCTCTTCTTAATCTCTTATGCTTCTCTTAGGATCTTGTTGTTTTTGTCCTTTATTTTGCCTATCTTTGCATGAAATGTTCCCTAGTATTTCCAGTTTTCTTGAAGAGGTCTCTAGTCTTTCCCATTCTGTTGTTATCCTCTTACTTCTTTGCACTATTCATTTACAGAAGACTTCTCTTATTTTTCCCTGCTGTTCTGTGGAATTCTGCATTCAGTTGGGTTTCTTTCCCTTACTCCTTTGTCTCTCACTTTTTTTCTTTTCTCAGCTGTCTGTGAGGCCTCCTCAGACAACCGCTTTGCCTTCTTGCATTTCTCTTTCTTTGGGATGATTTTGGTCACTACCTCCTATACAATGTTATGAATCTCAGTTCTTCGGGCACTCTGTCTACCAGATCTAATGCCTTGAATCTATTCTTTTCTCCTGTATAATCATAAGGGATTTGATTTAGGTCATACCTGAATGGCCTAGTAGTTTTCCCTACTTTCTTCAACTTAAGCCTGAAATCTACAATAAGAATCTGATGATCTGAGCCATGGTCAGCTCCAGGTCTTGTTTTTGCTGACTGCATAAATCTTCTCCATCTTCGGCTACAAAGAATATAATAAATCTGATTTCAGTATTGACTGTCTGGTGATGTCCATGTGCAGAGTTGTCTCTTGTGTTATTGGAAGGGGGTGTTTGCTATGACAATACTCTGTTAGCCTAATCCCTTGAATTTATTTGTCACCTCCACTGTATTGGCTCAAAACGTTTTCAAGGCATACGTCTGATACAGTGCTTGTGTTCAAAATATATCATGTACTCTGAAAACTTAGGATAAGAAAACAAAATGAGTAAAAAAACAAGAGAATGGACAAAAGAGCTGAAGAGTCTCTTCATCAAAGATTTACGGATGACAGGGAGACCTGCCTGGAGTCCCGTGGTTAAGAATCTGCCTTGCAATGATGAGGATGCAGGTTCGATCCCTGGTTGGGAAAGGAAGAGCCTCCATGCCAGAGAACAACTAGTCTGTGTGCCGTAACTACTGAAGCCTGCGTGGCACAACTGGAGATCTGTGCACGGCAACAAAAGATCCTACAGGACACAATGAAGATCACACGTGCTACAACCAAGACCTGACACAGCCTAATGAATAATAAATAAATATATATTTTTTAAAGTTTACAGATGGCAAATATACATGCATGAAAAGATGCTCAACATCATTAGGATATATGTGTAGTTCAATGCAATAGAATTGAGAGTCCAAAACTAAACCCATTCATCTATGGCCAAATGATTCTCGACAAGGGTGCCAAGACAATTCAGTGGGAAAAGAACATGTTTTTCAACCAATAGTGCTGAGAAAACTGAGTAGGCATGTGTTCAAGAAGGAACTTGCATGCTTACCTCATGCCTATATGAAAGTTAACTCAAAAATGGGTTATTGGCCTAAGTATAAAAACTACATTTACATATTCATAAACACATAAAACTTTTAAAAGAAATAGATATAAATCTTTATGACACTGGATTAAGCAATGTTTTCTTATATAGGACACCAAAAGCATAAGTCATAAAAGAAAAACTAATCTGATTTAACAAAAATTTTTAACATGTTTGTACTTTAAAGGACATCATCAACAAGGTGAAAAGCCTACTCAGAATGGTTGAAAATATTTGCAAATTATATACTTAATGAGGGACTTGTTTTCAAAATGTATAAACACAATAATAAAAAGAAAAATGACCCAGTTTAAAATTGCAAAAGATCTGAATAGACCTGTCTTCAGAAAAATATACAAATGGCCAATAAGCAAATTAAAAGCAGTTCAACATCATTAGAAAAATATAAATTGAAAGCATAATGAGATACCACTTTATACCTGCTAGGAAGGCTGCCTATAATCAAAAAGATGGACAGTGGCATGTGTTTATGAAACAACTGTCTCATTCATTGATGATGAGATTGAAAAATTATACAGTCATTTCAGAAAACAGTGATTTCTTATCAAGTTAAACATACATTTAGCATTTGCCCAGCATTTTAGGTGTTTCCTCAAGATGAATGAAATGAAAAGTTCACAAAAAACTTATAATAGGATGATTATAGCATTTTTAGTCATTGTAACAAAATGCTGGGGGTCAGGGGAGAACATCCAGCAAATGTCCAGTACATTAAAAACATGTGGCGTGTTCAATACAATGGAATACTTCTCAGCTTAAAGCAAAAGAACTACTACATACAGGTAATAACTTGAATACATCTTAAAAACATCATGTTGAACAAAAGTAGACAGACACAAAAGATTACCTACTGGATGAGTCCATTTATATGAAGGTCTAGGCAAAAATCTACATCGCAGAAATTAGAACAGTGGTTGTTTGGGATAAGAGGTGCAGGAGAGATTGACTGCAAAGGTGCACAAGGAAACTTTTTTGTTGTTGAAAATATTCTATATCCTGACTGTGTTGGTGGTCACACCAGTGTATCTGTTGTTCTTGTTCAGTATCTCCTGGAGTTTGCTCAAATTCATGTCCACTGAGTTGATGACATTATCCAACCATCTCATCCTCTGCCTCATATAACTATAGATTAAATTGGATGTATTTATTGCATGTAAATTAGACTTTAATAAATATGACTAAAACTAAAAAAATTTAAAAGGCACATGTACAGTAAATTCCCTGGTGTTCCAGTGGTTAGGACTCTGTACTTTAACGACCGAGGGTCCTGTTTCAATCCCTGATCGGAGAACTAAAATCCCACAAGCCAAATAGCACAGCCCTCTCCCTACCCCCAGCCCCTCAAAAAAAGCATGTGTGCAAAAAAAATATTTTTTTAAGTTTTAAAAATGTTTTATTTATTTAGGCTGCATTAGGTCTTTTGTTGCGTGCCCGCGTTTTCTAGTTAAAGCAGGCAGGGCTACTCTTTAGCTATTGTGCTCAGGCTTTCCATTGCGGTGGTTTCTGTTGTAGAGCCTGGGCTCTAGGGCTAGGTTGGCTAAGTTGGCTCAGGGCATGTGGAATCTTCCCAGACCAAGGATCAGAACCTGTGTCCCCTGCATTGGCATGCAGATTATCAACCACTGGACCACCAGGGAAGTCCAAAAAAAATTTTTTTTAAATAATGAACATTGGCATATACAATATGACTGCCATTAAATTTTTTTTAAACATTGGAAATGAATTAAAGTACCTATCTTACCCATGTTTTGGGGTCAAAGAAATTTTCTTTTCTGGACTGCCTGTCTTATGGTTATGATTTATATATACATTATATAATATATATATAATGTTATGAGTGTTATCTATGACCTGTATGTGAGTCCTGTAGTGTAGTGTAACATCATCGCAGAGACATTTATCAAGCTCTAACTTACGTTAATGGTCAGTAATAAAACAGCTTAAATTTAAGTGAATAAATAAAAAATTATTCCACGAAAAAGGGAGTTAAGTGTTTTAAGGAAAGCTCTTTCTCCTGTTTTCTTTCAGCTTCAAGGTACTGCAGCATGCTGATTGAGGAAGGAGGGTTGCAGCATTTATACAACATCAAAGAACACGAACAGACTGATCCCCATGTCCAACAGATTGCTGTGGCCATTCTGGACAGCTTAGAAAAACACATTGTACGCCATGGGAGGCCACCTCCCTGTAAAAAGCAGTCCCAGGCCAGACTAAACTGATAGCCATAGGTAATTGGATAATGGAGTCACAGAAATTCTTCTTGTGATAAGTTCACTTGGAATAGCTTACCCTCTGTGATGTTTGGGGGGTTTCTCTGATAAGAGTCATAAGATGAGCATGGGATTGACAATGTACAGTACTGCCCATGTGAACAGTCTCTGATTTGTCTTGTGATTTTTAACTTACTAGGCAAGAAGGGTCTCTTCCTTCATCATTGCCTTTTAGGAAGATTTCCACATCTTTCAGTGTTTGAACTTACCTGTGCTTAAAATTCTACAGTTTTATGAAGTTTGCACGAACCCTTAGGCCAGACTTTTCTGATTTTTAAAGTCCCTTCCAATCAATTTGCAGCTTCAGATAAGCTGTTAACTTGATTGCTGGCACTGCTTCAGTTGTAAATTTTATACTGCTTCTGTATAAAATGCCTTTATTCTCTGTCTGTGTATCTTTTATAAGATGTCCTTCTTAGTGTGAAAGAATGGAAATCTGAGTCCTCCCCTTGTGAAAGCTACTTACTGGCTAGTGCCAGGATGGCTGGCAGAAAATATATTAAAAACTACTAAGGGAGAAAGAATAGAGGTTAGGAACTGGGAAAAGGCCTGCTCTTGAGGTATTTTTAAACAGGGACTGGCTAATCTTCTGGAACCCACCTCTCCTAAGACACTGAGCAGTAGCTTGTTCTTCGTATTAATTTTTGGAAGCGTGGACTGCTGCTTCCTATACAGACTGCAGGTTACTCTCTAGAAATATTTCTCCAAGCTACCACGGTGTAAAATATTACAGCATTCTGTGTTAGAGATTAATTAACTGTCTGAATCTCTTTATGTCATATTGTGAAAAAATCGTCTCTTGCTAAAACTGACCATTCTTTTCTCTCTATTTCAAAGTCATTTTGTTTGGTGGAATAGAGACCATATATGGTGTTACCTGCTCACTTAAAATAATAATTAACAACAGTAAATTTTGCCACAAGAAGTTAATTTTCTTTTGTTTCAAAATACATGTATCTTACTGTTTTCATGTTGGGGAAAAATATCCACATCTCACCGCCAAAAATAAATAAGAATTAGATGATTGTTAAATGTAATGATTCTAGTTGCAATGCAGAAAAGGAAATACTTTGTGATAGGTTATTTTTTAGACAGTTGTCTTTTCTTCAGGAGAGTTGTTATAGTAAAGAATCAGTTATCAATAATGGCAGTTGGGAGGCAGCAAGTCACCAAAAGAGTTATTTTCCATTTTAAATTTTAGGTTGTGAATAAGGTTAACCTGCAGTCTTAGATAACTGCGTTTTTTTCATAGATGGCCAAAATGTTTTCAATAGAGATTTTAAATGGTACATTCAAATCATTGTGATAATTCAGAAGCATTTTTATTTAGAAAGGAGCTGGCTTATTAGTATGCTGTTAACATTTTGACATACATGTTTCATACCACTATCATAATAATCATACTTGAATTATTTGGTACTCCTTCACAGAAATAAAAACTAAAAGAAAATAGGTATTTAGAATTACTAAAAACCATTTTAAATTGTGGGTTAATTCTGACTCAAGGAATTTTTATAGGTGTAAGATAAATTTTCACAGATTAAGTATTTCAAAGGAAATGGAAAATTCTTTTTAAAATGTCCCCTTTTCCTGGATTTAAATATCTAAGGCAAAATGTAGAAAATAGGATGTCCTACAGTAGCTTAGAAGTTGCTAGCTGTGTGGACCATTTCCAGGTCTTCTGGCTTGTGTAGTTAAGGAAAAGCCTATTTGAGAAGTTTGGCTTTAAGTTTCTGTTGTATCCTATTCAAAACAAAAGTACATGCTCCTTGTAGGCTAATCCTAGGTTTTTTGTCTTTATAAATTGTTTTCAAATATGGCTAAAAATGTATGGAAAACAATTAACCCCTTCATTACTCAGAATAACTTGTTGATGGATGAAGACTCAAATATATTTAAATTGAAATTTACTATTTTGAGCAGTGGTAATGGCCAGATACTTCTGAGTCTTAAAAGCAAAATAATTAGGCACATCTCAGATAGATAAAATTTTTAGTGCCTTTGTGATTGGGATGACTCTTAAAATTGTGTATCTAATTATGGCACGGAATTGTCTATAAGGTCTTAGATCTGACTGCAATTCAGTATATATATATAAATTGAGGGCTTCCCTGGTGGCTCAGATGGTAAAGAATCTGCCTACAATGCAGGAGACCCAGGTTTGATCTCTGAGTTGGGAAGATTCCCCTGGAGAAGGAAATGGCAACCTATTCCTGTATTCTTGCCTAAAGAATTCCATGGACAGAGCAACCTGGTGGGCTATAGTCCATGGGGTCGCAAAGAGTTGGACACGACTGAGCAACTTTCACTCATTCATATATAAATTATGAGGTATAACTGACCTGTCTCTTAAGATAGAAACTATTCGCCCTCCTGTTTGCATTTGTACACTAGAATGTAATGAAACTTGGTGCCTTCAAGGGGTACCTCTTCAGTGGGTTAGAGGTGCTGTTTCAAGCACAATTTATACTAGGGTTGAACCACTCATTGCTCAAATCATTGGTGCGCTCAGATATTGCAAATTATCACTACATAAGTCCACAAACAGCAAGGTTTAAACCTACTAAAGGAAATGGAATTAGACTTTTTAGACTACAGTGATGCATGTTGTTACCAATGAGTAAAACAAGAGCAGTCTGAAATTAAAGCAGAAATAATTAAGGTATATCATTCTTCCCATCAGGTAAATTTTGCCGTTCTCGTTATACTCTAAAAAAATCATTTTGTCCTTTTGCAGTTGAAACATATATCAAGTAGTAATAAGTTACTTTACTCTGTGGCCAAATACTCAGTGGCTACTGATCTTAGTTGAGAATTTTAAAAATGATATCAGACTCACAGACCCAGGAATTGACCTTAAATGTTGCTGCTTCTCACTCCTGGACAGAAATGCTATTTGGTGGCACTAGTCAATTCAAGTGAATGACCCAGGTAGAGATGAATCGCACACGGCAACTGTGGAAATTTAATTTCATATCTTTGGTTTGCAAGCTTCCAAAGAATCAGGGATTCATGTTTTAAAACACTGGTCCTGAACATCCAGCCTAGGAAGTTGATCTTGCTGGTGGGACCTTTTGAGTTGGCCCTTTTTCTCCCCAGTCAAGTCACTTGGCTGTATTTTAAATTATGCATTGCTCAGGATAGTATTGGGCCATCTTCTAGATCTTTGGAACACATTTTGATGAAAACATATTTTGTTTCACTGTGTGCTGAATTAGGGTGGAATCAATTAATAAACCATGGTTTTGGCTTAGTGCTTTAGAATGTCTGACATTGTGCCTCCCCCTGCTCTCACTCCTTATGAAACACTGTGCAGCAGTACCCAAGGTTGAAAAAGAGGTCATGAGTAGCCAGGAAAATAAACTTCTGTGTTGTATATGTTGAAACCTACCATTCTCCTGCCTTTTAATAGTATGTTTACATTATTTGGTTATTGTGCAACTTTTATCTTGAGATAAACAGTATTAAACTGAAGGTATAAGTTAAAGGCAGTGTCATACTGTTAGCTGATGTGGGCAGTTTTATCTGTATGTTACTTTTTTGGGGACTTTTTATGGCTAGGGTTTCCAAGTAGTGTTCTGAGACAACTTACAGAGAGGTTTGCAAACTTATGGTTTCCCTCTGAAATCCATTGTAGCATTGGATATTGAGTATTTAAACTTTACCATTTGCTTTGTATTGACACATTTTTCATTTTTTTGTGTTAACTCATGAACTGTTTATTTAAGTAATATGCAAATCCAAGCTTCATCCAGTGATGAAAATAGCAGTATGATAGAAGATTTTGCTGAGTGTGCTTAAAATGAGTAATTGCTTTATCTTTTTTAGTATTTCATAGATTTTGCATGACATGTACACTCCTAAGTATGCATTCTTTGGTTTCCAAATCTTAACTGAAGACATTCAATGTTCATCCAAGAAAGAGCTTTCTCTGCCTGTTTTTACCCTCCCCTAATATTTTTAATAAATTATGGGAAAATCAATGCTATTTCTCATTTTCTGGATGAAGCAAAGCTCTGCTGGAGAGCACAACCTAACTGCATAGCTAGACAGAATGGCTGTTAAGAATATTTAGAAAATCCAAATATATCAAATTATGAGAAATAATAAATAATTCATAAATAATATGTGCTTAATTTTTGAAGTTACTCTGGAAAATTGTTCAAATTGGGTTCTTTTAAGCTTATTTTAATTAGCTTAGAAGCAAGAAGCTACTTAGCTAATGAAAGCTGTGACATACTTCATAAAAGCAGGAAATTCTTGAGAGCATTTAATAATGGGAGGATGTTATGTCAAGATTTATACTCTCAGATAACCTGTAAGAATAAAATTTTAAATCCCTCACTTTTGTAGAATTCCCACTGTCAAATTCTCACTGACTTGTGAGTGTGGAAAAAGGTATCTTTTGCTTGAATTCTGGTAGAAGAGTTCAACTCTTTTCAAAAGATATGAAAAATTCATTGGAAAATATGTATACATTTCAAAGTCTCCCAGTTATCTGGACTGAAGGCACTGTTCTCACTGTGGCCAGATGAATGGGAGTGTCCTGTACCTGAATCACGCTAGATATTAAATCAGGACATCGTTAGGTATTAATGTTGTGTGTACAGATTTTTGTTTGGGTTTTTTTTTTTTTTTGCTTAAATAAATGTTACAGATTTTATGTAAAGTGCGTCTTGTCTACATTTATTCTAGACATTTGCTTTAAAATTTAAAACTAATGCAGATTCCTTGGTCATCCACTTATAACAATTCCTTCCTCAATTGGCTCTCTCAAAGGCCAGTGGTTTTACTGCAAAAGTTTCCAGTGTTTTTTTTTTTCAGGACCTGGAACTCCATTCATTCATTTCCTTAAATTCCCGTGCTCGGTGCTGTTTGGGCTTCCCTGGTGGCTCAGACAGTAAAGAATCTGCCTGCAGTTCGAGACGTGGGTTCGACCCCTGGGTCAG